TACTAAATCAATCAACTGGGAAAAGTAAAAGTTTCTAGCCATTCATGATGCATTATAGCCCAAAGTTTCTTTTTGATTAAGTGGAAAGAGGAAGAAGAAAAGTGTAGAAAAGTCACAAACATTGCAATGTGCGGCCCGAGGAAGAATATGATCTTTGTTTTTTGGTGACGGCTTCTTTTATAGCTAAAAAGATCAAGGTTTCCTTTTTAGATTCTTTCAATGACTTTGGCACTTAGCTCGCTTTCCAAAATTATCTTCCCCTTGATTTTTTGTTGTCAATCTTGGTTACAGTGGGATTCTCTCTTTTTGAATCTCAAAAATGCACTTTTTTTCAAATCAACAGCTACATATTTCTTGGCTAAGGCTTGGTCGAGTGTAAATTGGGCTTGCCTCCTATTACTTTAGTGTTAGTTGTGCCCAAGGGTTAGTTATGGTTCTTTCTTTTGTTAAGAAGTAAGCCTTGGTCGAGGCTTACTTGAGCAGGTCCACAAGTTGTGATTCTGCTGATGCCTTAACCTTGCTTGAGGAATGAGTGAAAGGAAACTCGAATCTATTACTTTTTACTGGTTCTAAGCCTTTGGCAAGGCTTATTCTTACTCTGAGAGCCTCTCCATGAATTCTGCCCTTCTTTATGTTGTTTTCCTTGATTTTGCTCCCATCTTCTATCCTGCATCAAAATGAATGGAATAACTCAAATCAGATGGCAATTATTCTAATTAAGCACATGAAAATGGACAATGAAGATGATGTTTTTACACACTATCATTTGCAAACTCGCGTTTGCATTCCCCTTCCTGACAATGTCATTTTGGCTTGGCATAGTTAATAAGGTAGTTTATACACAACTTTTATGCCAAGTTAGCATCTACATGCATATTTTATTTCTGTATGTAATCTCTTATATGCATGAATAAATGATAATTTTACATATGTCTATACAAATTTTAAATGGGATGATGTTCAGGTTCAAGATGACATAGGGTTCGTGGAACATGTGAAGAACTTCTTTAGCAACCATCTTCATTGACAAAAGAAAGTTCAGCAATAAAATTTACATGATCCCAAAAGAATTAAATTTAGTTCCACTGATGGAATCCCGCATCAAGGAGGTATTCCACAATAATCAAGATTCCCACATGATAATTACTCGTAAGTTTGCAACTATACGAAAAGAAGGACGTGCAATGCACACGTGCAAACGTAAAGACCTCACACATGGACGCTGCATAGCACACGAATACAGACTGGAGCATGTGTTGCGTGCACAGATAAAAAACAGTCTTTTTTTTTCGGACAAGGATTCCTATAAGTCCCATCCCTAAATAGGCAAGTAATTTTAAATTCTTTTTATTCCTTAAACAAGATCAGCTCAAACAAAAAAGTAAATTTCAATTTTCTAAACTGGAACGCACTAAAAAGAAAAGTAACTACATCTCTGACTACTTTTCTAAATGGAATTATTCCAAAGAATGGGACAAGTTTGTTCAAAGTAAGTTTAAGGCCCAAATGAGATTAATGAGATTGAAGAATTGTAAAGAAGTCTAAGTGTTAGCCCAACCCAATAGAGGATTAAGCGTTCGTCTAAGTCAAGGAAGCACCAGGGCCCTACGACCAAAGAGAGGATCGACCCAAGGAGAATGCACCAAGGGAAAGAAACCTGAGTCACGACATGGGTTTGAAAGCCCATCGGGTGCACAGATGAAGGTATGGATGTGCGGGGTGAGTAGTCCGCGACCCAGCCAAACCCGTATGCTTGGAAGTCCGGAAAACTAAATCCACACGCAATAGGTAACGCATGTGTGGGCATGCCCTGCTACACGCGAATACACCAATCCACACACGCGAGGAAGCTTCTTCCGTGTGTCAGATGCCCACATGCTCCTACCTCATGTGAATAGCTTATTGAGAGTCCGACTTGGACTTCTCTTCCTTTTTTCCCTAATTTTCCAAGGATTCCCAGCTACAATGACTTATACAAATTATCCCATGTGATTAAAATACAAAATTGTAGGAGATATTTTACTCAGATTAGAAGTCCAATGAAGATAAAGCCACATGGAGATTTGGATGAAGAGAGAACGATATTTTAAGTATTATTTTATTAAGAAATTAATTATTTAATAATTTTGTTTAAGTGTTTTAATTAAATTAAGTCTAAGTGTTCAAGTAAAAATATGTAATCCTACTTCTATTCATATTAGACAAGTGAAGTCTATATAAAGGTTTTAATTTTTATGTTGTACTCATAACTTGAGTTGAAAATTTTTTTAAAGATTTTACTTTGTTCCAAATTAGTTTTCACTAGTTTTTGAGAGTGTTCTTTAAGTTTCTTTAAGGTAGGGAACTTTATAAGACATTTTGAGCCAATGAATCAGGATTGACTTATCGGATAACTCGTAGCATCTTCTTTATTTTTTTTTATTTTTCTCAGTTACTTTGAATTTGCATTTATATTGTTAGGTTTAGTTCAAGTAAGGAGGGTAAATTAGGTGATTGAGATTTCTAGTGTCATGTTGAGTGAGGTTCCAAGAGTCAAAGCGATCCATCTCCATTCCTTGCCTTCATCATTTGGTATCAGAATGCTCTAATGCTCTTATCACAAAGTTAGCCTTTTCTGTGTGCTCCACCTCTAACCCACAATCATTAGATCACCACCACTTCTATTCTCCGGTTGTGCCCACTATCTACCTCTCTACAGCCCAGGCGATTCAAGTTGATGACAAGGTTGACGAAGATGATGATAAAGAGGAAGATGATGAGGAAGAGGTAGAACTTGAGTCAGACTTTGCGGATTAAGCCATGCAAGCTGTAACACATGCCCGGATAAAACGAATTTGTAGCAACGGGCGAGCCATACAAGTTAATGCAGTTGGATTTTTTGGGATATCTAGCTAGGTTCAACTAGCTTCAGGTAATTAATAGAAAAAGAACAAAAAGTAAACATACAAGAACCCAAATCTTAGTTGAAAATTAGATAGCAGTACGTGGCGATAAATAGACCTAAGATTATATTAGTCCACACCTTTGATGTAATACATACATAAAGTAGCTGGCATATGATACTATATATACATTCATATATTTATATAGACACATATATATACTATAAAATACAAGGTATAGTACAAAATTCCTACTATTTAAAGAAGTGTATATATATATATATATAATGTAATCATGTGAAGGATGACAAGAACAAGTTGACATTTCTAGGGATAAGAGCTCGTTGTAGACTATTATGGCGAAATGGGTCTTTAGGCCCACAATTTAGCCATGTCAATAATGATTGATGTTTTACACATGCGTAGCTGACTCACTACCAAGATGGAAGCAAACTCCTCTGTGGTGTTACAATAGAACCAACGATCGAAGGAGCAAACATCGATAAGGGCAAAAGTTAGGGCACAAAAGAGAACTTCTTGCTAGTGTCACAATGGAAGCAATTGGATGCTTAGTTAGATTTGCAACCAAGGCATCAATTAGAGCACGGGATTATGAGTTGGTCCATGTGAATGCCACATGTTTATTGCGTGACATTCATGTGATATCTTCTTACACATGCCAACGAAAATACATGACCATTGTTGATGATATCAATGAGTAATAACGGTCAAGGGTGCAATTTAAATTGTTTCAAAAGTTGAGGGTTGATTTAAATTTAAAAAAAAAAAAAAGGTGTAATTAAGATATTTTTAGAAATTGATTTTTGCCTTTGTAATATTTTATGCACATATGATAATACTACTAATAGAAATATATAACAATAATTTTGTAAGAAAATCATAAACCACTTAATCTAACAATATATTTTAAATGAAAGTAACATATTTTAAAGATAAACCGTGAATATCAAAATATGTAGTTTACAGAAGTAAATTCAACAAATAAAACTTAAAATTTTAAAAATACCGATTAAATATTATACTAAAAAAAAAATACATATTGAAAAAAAAGTTAAAGCTGAGATTTTAATTTTGGAGTAAAAAATTAAAAATTAAAAATTAAAATATTTAGTTAATATCGGCAACACCAACATTGGTTAGTAAAACTAGTAATTAGTAGTAATAACTGGCATTTGACTGCATATGTAACCCTACCTATATTATTAAACTGGTGCAATATATGGTAGTCAGTATAGGCTAGCACCATGTTATTTCCTCCTACACTGGTTGTTCTAGTAAAATTTCCTCCTTGCTTTTCTCCTATTTTTTTTAGGATTTTGGTCTCTACTTTTTGTCAGTCTTTTTTTCCATGCATAACCTTAGGTGCCATTCTAGCTGGCTGCTCATTCAAATTTCCTTTCTCTACCTTATTGTTGGTTGTGAGAGCCTCACTTACAAGATCAAAATGGTGCCATCAATGTTTTATTTTTCTTTTGTAGTAATTAATTCATTGCATATCTTGTCTTTTCTTACACCATCATCAATCTCCTTACATGTGTAGTCAATAAAAATTTAATTTCTACCAGGAAGCTTATATACTAAAGGTCTACATATCTCTTAAGTCATGTTTCATTCTTCTTTGTTTGTTATAGAGCTAGCTTTAAGTTTAAACAAACATTAGAGAGAGGGAAATTACAGGCTCAAACTGTATTACACTTCAAATAACAAGACAAAAGTTGGACTTCCTTAATTTTCTTTATTTAAGAAGTTTAGTTTCACTAATTTAATTTAGTTTATTTAAATATTTTAATTAAGATCAATTTTTCTATTTATTTTAATTAAAAAAAGAGCTTAACAAATATTACATTTAAAACAGATACTACTATTCGAAAATGTTTTCTCTTGCTAGTTTGTCAATATTAACATCATCAATTGGTATTGTTTTGTTCTCCTACACATATGCAACCCCTCATGGCTTTACATAATAAGACTTTGTTTTGTTCTGTTGGTATGATTTTGCTCTTGCTATAATCTCATTATGCATTCAAATTTTAATTTTGTTCAATTCATATGGATATCAAATTATTGAGTTCTTTACCAAAAAGTACAGAAATCAAATAAACAAAATTGGAATTCATACCAAATCAAATACTAAATTGCAATGGTTTACAAAATAGACTCCTTCCAAAACCATTTCAAAACTGGGGAGCCTGCATCCACTTCCACTAACTATCGCTACGAACATATCTTCCCTTCCCATGCATCCACTCAAAACTAACTTCCGAAAAAACAAACTACTCCATATCTATAGAAGTAAACCCTAGAGACACCCATTCCTTTCCATAGCCACAACATGTAAAGGATATTTCATCTGGCAAGACAGCTTCAAGACCTCACTAAGATCAACCGGTTTAGTCACCTCTTCAACCCACTCGAACCGGTGCACCAACTGAGCCACCCAAATATTTACAGTGGCCAGCCCCAGATTCTTCCCGGGACAAACCCTGCGCCCAGCCCCAAAGGGTGCAAGTCGAAGGTCCCCACCTCTCACGTCCATGTCGCTCTCCAAAAACCTCTCTGGCCTGAACTCCAGTGGCTCCGCCCACACGTTCGGGTCATGAGTTATGGCCCACATGTTCACCATCGCCGTGGTGTTCGCCGGAATCACCATGCCATTTTTTAGCTGAACGTCTGAAGTGGCTAGCCTGGCCCAAGAGAGAAGAGGTCCAGGTGGGTGGACTCGAAGTGTTTCTTTCACCACGGCTTGCAAGTAAGTTAATCTTCCCATGTCTGCATCTGTCACGTTCTTGTTCCCTACAGCTTCGTTTATCTCGTTTCGCAGCTTTGTTTGCACTTCTGGATGTAGCACCAACTCGGCCATCACCCACTCTGTTAACAAAGCTGTAGTATCTGTTCCTCTAAATATCATTTCCTGGAAAACCAACTACCTTATCAATATACATGTATATATACATGTTAATATCTTATAATACCAGAATACAAGTCGTAATACTGTGAAAACAAAAAAGTAATTATGAATTATTTAAGTAACCAGTTGTATAACTAAATGCTAATAAAGTAAAATGAGACGCACCCAGAGGACAGCGACCATGTCGTCTTCTTGGAGCTTCTCGTCACCATCCAGAGAAAGCAAAACGTCGACAAAATCGCCCGTTTCAGCCAACTTTTTGGACTCACTGAATCGTTCTCTTCGATGCTCCTCAATGATGGCTCGTACGAATTTGGTAACTCGAGGAACTAGTTTAGAACAACGCTCGTTTATACGAAATGGGTCGTAGAAATAACTGAGCCACGGCAAGTAATCAGACCAGTTAAACGAACCCAAAAGCTCAAATCCTTCTCTAACCATATCTCTGAGTTTCTGAAGTTCTTCACTTTCTCGACCCGGATCATATCTCTTGCCAAAAACGCTACCCATAATGTTGTTCAAGGCAGCTAACTGAAGGTGTTTTCTGAGAGCAACGAATCCACTAATTTTCTGCTCAATTGCTATTTCACGCAGCATAGCAGCGCAATCTTTTTGGCGACCAGCGTCATGGGCCATGATGCGTCGAGGTGAAAACAGATGAGAGGCGGCAATTCTTCTGAGAAGGCGCCAGTAAGTTCCATTAGGAGCAAACCCGATAGCTCGACTGAACATGAGGCTTTTAGCAGATTGCTTGATGGGTCGATCTGCGAAATGAGGGGAAGTCAAGATTTCTTTGGCAGTGTAAGGATCTGAAGAGACTACGAGAGGAGTAGAGCCAAGGGTGAAAGCCATGAGTTGTAAGTTGGCTGAGCTTCTGGCCATGGCGGCTAGAGAGCGGTGAGCTAAGCCTCGAGAGAGTGTAAAGAGGCTACCGAGAAAAGGGAGACCCCGGGGTCCCGAAATAGGAACAGAACCAAGTTTGCTTCTGCCATTTTTCCAGGCAACACCACCAGGAGAAAAAGCCCAGGTGAGAAGATAAAGAGAGAGAGAGAGGGTGAAGAAGGAGAGCAAAAAATAAGCATCAAGTAAGTTGTGAGATCCAAAACAAGCCGGAAGGGTGAACACCCACCAGCTTGAATCTTTTGTCACCCAACTCAACTCCATTGCAGAAACTTTGTACAAGGATGGAAGCTATATGAAAAGAGATTGGATATGTGTGTACTTTTATATATGAGGCGAGGGTGTTGCGTGTGTGTGTGTATATATATTGTTTTTCATGAGGAGTACGGAAGGAAGGTGGGGACTTGGAAAGTGTGTACATGTATATATATATATATATATATGTATATGTGGTGGGGGATAGATGGTCTTTTGCTTCTTCTTGTTTCTTTTTTGTTGAGATCTTAAACAACTACAATTGTTAGTCTATTTTTTTTTTTATAAGAAAATGAGGCTTTATTTTATGTTTTAATTAATTTTTGATTGTGTCATATTATTTAATTAAAAAATATAAATTTGTTTCAGAAAAATAATTCCAAAGACAAAAATGCTCTTAGAAAAAATAAAAACTTCAATTATAGACATTTCAGAAATTAGCATATTAATTTCTATATATGCTGATTAAATTAGATCAAAATCTTATTTTGAAATATTTTTAAATAATAAAAGTATTGTTATTAATTTCTATCTACTGTTAAATGTGGTGTGGAGGGAAAGCATTAAATGAGACCATAGATTTACACCGGGAAAACGGCGAGCTATGCATTATTATTGTTATTATATATATATATATATGTGTGTGTGTGTATATATAGTTATATATATATAGAGAGAGAGAGAGAGAGAGAGAGGTGAAGGTACATGTACGTAAATTTGTGAGTTGAGAGGGAAAATGATAGAGCAGAAAGGTAACGTGTAACGCTTGACTTTCTTGATGAATACGCATTGAGAGCCGTGACTCCGTATTTATGTAGGTTCTCTGAGGCAGATAGAGAAAGCAACTGAGAGGAATTCCAGAAATAATTATTATTAATTATATCATTAAATATAATATTTAATATGAAAAAAAAAACCATCTAAAATAATTTTCATCTTATGTCTTTAGGTCCTCAATTCAGTCCATGTATTATATGCTTAATATTGTTTATTGATGATTAAATTACATAATTATATTAAAATGTATTTAGTTTTTTCTTGTTTTGACAAAAATTTCTCTAAGAACAATTCGAATGCGTTTTTGTTCCACACGTTGGTTTAATCTAATTAAATTAATCTTGAAAGTGTTAATTAATAATTTTTTTGTTGAAGAGGACGTAATGTGTATATTAATATATATATATAAGTATGTATCTTATCTAATTAATAAATATATTAATTTATTGTGAGCTGGGTCCGAAGAGGAGAAAGATGCCATCTAGAATTACATCTAATAGCCTTATTTTAAGTAAGCACTGAGTCTATGAATTTCTTTAGATGTAATACAAGTCAATTGGACCAAAATAGAGGCTTGAACTATTCGGTGTAACATTATATCTAGTTTGGAGTCGGGGTATCGGAAGAAGGTTATGAAATCCGTTGTGATTTTACTTTTATACAGACTTCCTATAAACTCTAGGGTTTAGGCAATTTTGAGCACAGAGAGAGTTATTTCTTCAATGGCACAAAGAAGGTTATCTATGGGCAGAGGAAAGTCAAGTTTGAGCTAGCACATGGTGCACAATGTGACTACCACAACAATGTATACTCAGGTCTATATATATGTAGTATGATTCCAAAGATAACCTCCTCACTTGTGGTTGAGATTGGTGTATAGATTTCATAACTTTTATATGCAATAACTATCTGCTTAGAGCATTGCATTAATATGGTGATTTCTATAGTAATATACTAGGTAAACTATGATGAGTATATATATATATATATAAATCCGTATGATCATTTTTTTTTTTTTGTTTTTTGGTTCAATAATGGTATGGGATTGTAAGTCTTGGCACTGCAGGAAAAAAAATAGGTACACAACCCAAGAACTAGTGTTAAAATTTTTGAGATGGCTTATATGTTGATTTTTGTAATTTGCTTGTAAAATTTAATACCTTTAATGTCCATATTCTACTGCTTGGTTAGCCATTTTTGAGTAAAAGGCAAATTGATGATGTTATTCCCTTGGTAACAAGGACAAAGGAATGAATGTTGATTGTACAAAGAAATAGACACCAATCCTGTCATCAAACCACAAAACAAGAGCATGGGTATACGAACCTTTCCTATTAGATTATATTATGAATTTCATACATCTAGAATTCTACATATCTACATTTTTATGTATACGTAATAGCCGAATATAGGGCTTATTTCAACGAATTTTGAAGTTCAAGTTTTATTCCAACTAAAAAATATGCTACTTTATTCAAATGAGATAGCAGAATAGGTGAATTAGATATTTATGTCTAAATTAATAATGAAGCAAATTAAAAATGTAAAATTTTTATAATTTAATAATTTCAACCTTATATTACAGTTTGAAATAAATTATTTAACAGTTTTATTTTTTTTAACCGTTTTCCAATTTATAAGATCCTTAAATATAATATATATTTTTTTTTTTAGTATAACTACGCTAATGAAAAAATAAAAATAAAAAGTAATGTATGTGATGGAATTGAAGCTTGTTTAAAACTAGTCGACGTGGTGCAAATGTGTCTAATCGATTCTCCTGGCTCCAAACTAAAACCTTATCCACTCTCCAAATGAAACAAAACAAATCGGGCTGAGAAACTCGACGAGGGAGAGACTTACACTATGACAATCTTACTTTCTCTTCCAAACCCAAAGCCTGTTTTTATATTCAACCCATTTGGTAATTATTATAATTATCACCCACAAATTAATCATAAATTTTTCTCAACCAAACACTTGCAGACAAGAAATGCCGCATCATCATCTTCTTCTCCTGCTGCGCCTGGGGTTGATCTCAACACCCTCCAAACCGCCATTGATAAGGTCCCTTTTTCTTCTTCTCAATTCTGCAACCTCCCATATATATATATATGTTTATGTTTTGTTGTCAGAAGAATGTATTTGATGCAGAAGGACAGCGACGGTGTTAAAGAGGCTCTTGATAAGCTGAGTGAAGCTGGTTGGGCCAAGAAATGGAGTTCTCAGCCGTATGTCTCACGTCGTACGGTCAGTCTGAACTTGTGGGAAAGTGATGGTCTACATCTCTTCATTGCTTTTCTTTTTTAGTTGACATTCAATTATGGAGTAAGTAAATTTGATTGATCTTCCAACAATCTCCATGTATCAGACTTCTCTACGGGAGCTCACAACTCTTGGGATCAAGAATGCAGAAAACCTGGCCATTCCAAGTGTCAGAAATGATGTGCGTATATCGCTCCTGTTACTATGCTTTAGTATATTTAAATTGAAAGTCGAATCTCCATCCATTCAACAACTACACATATATTAACTTGATATGTTCCAGTAATACAGGCGGCATTTCTTTTCACAGTGGTGGGAACAACTTCGTTATTGGCTATTCTGGCCGGCCAGCTTCCGGGGGTACCCTACTCTTTTCTCCTCCTTTTTCTTCGTACATGTGAATTTCAGGGATCATTATTTTATGTGTATAGGATTGGGGCTTCTTTCTGCCTTACTTGATTGGAAGCATTTCGTTAATTGTTCTTGCTGTGGGGAGCATTTCACCTGGGTAAGTTCATGTGTTGAAGATATTAAAACTCTTTTTCTGTAGTAGACAAGCTTTTAAAATAGGAAAATTGTTGTTTTCTAGGCTTCTTCAAGCTGCTATTGCAGGATTCTCCTCATTCTTTCCTGATTATCAAGAGAGGATTGCTACACATGAAGCAGCTCATTTTTTAAGTAGTTTCTCCTCAATCCAATATTCGACATTCTTCCAAATGGTTTTCTTTTTCTAATAAGATATTGGATTTCCTATTTGAACTGCAGTTGCCTATTTACTTGGCCTTCCAATTCTGGGGTATTCATTAGATATTGGGAAAGAGCATGTCAATCTCATTGATGAAAGACTGCAGAAACTAATATATAGTGGGCAACTTGATGCTAAGGAACTTGATAGGTACTGGTTTTAAAACCTTTCTTGAACACTGTAAATAGGTGCATTATTGGTCCTTGAAGAAATTTTGAATCAATAGCATAAAAAAAGTCAGAATTTCACTGCAGAAAATATAAACTTACCTGATAGCTTTTCTCAGACTGGCAGTTGTAGCAATGGCTGGACTTGCTGCAGAGGGCCTCAAATATGACAAGCTGGTTGGCCAGTCTGCAGATCTATTCACCCTTCAGGTTTGCAACTATTTTACAGACTAATCAGGCTTCTTTTTAACTTGAAAAGCAATTTATGGATGAAAGTATTCAGAAAAGATTACCTGAAATCTGCTTCTTCTCTTCTGCAACTCAGTACCTTTGTCTTCTGAGTTGATTCATCCTGTGTTTCCTGTAGCGATTTATAAACCGGAGCAAACCACAACTCAGCAAAGATCAGCAGCAAAATCTTACGAGATGGGCCGTAAGTTCTTGCAACTCAGTTATTAGAGTTGCCTTGAGTTTCAAGCTTCAGGCATAACATTCAACCATATATGGTTATGGGAGATTAAGTTTCAAGATTGTAAATGCAGGTTTTGTTTGCTGGATCCCTATTGAAAAACAACGAGGTCATTCATGAAGCCCTAATAACAGCAATGACAAACAGAGCAACTGTATTGGAGTGCATTCAAGCCATTGAGAAAGCTGCCTAGGACAGAACCAATTCTTTTCTGTTTTTTTTCTCTAAAGAAAAGAATTACTCGTCTGCCAAACATTGGATTAATTTAAATACTTCTTTTTTCTCAGTTACTCAATTTTACAGTTATGTTCCACAGTAACCTGACCACAATTAATACAAATATTTAGATTTTTATCATTAAATTAAAAAATTTAAACATCTATTTTTGACAAATGTAACAAAGCTAAATTGCAGACTTGCTTACATTAGGAAGGTTGCAGGGATCAAGATCCGTAAAACTTATCTTTATTTAACATGTAGGCAATATAATGTAAGGATACATCAAAATGAATGAATTATCAAAGAGAGAGTAGATTAAAGACCTTTAAAATTAAGATGTGGAAGATCTTAGTAAAAGCACAACAAAACAGAAATTATTCTCTTCTTTTACGCAGAAGAAAACTTTCTTTCTAGCTATTAAGGAATAGAGAACTCATTGTTTTTGGTCTATAGCCGCCCATACACCGATAGCATATCCCTTAACCTCAAAGCTTCTGTTTCCATGAGATCAAAGGTCATGGAATGAGGTATCCTCCAACTCCAGTTCCCAACCTGCATTTAGCAAGAAATAATATGCATATAAAGCTGGTAAGTAGGAAGAAATAACATAGTCGAACTTTTGATGAAAGTTAGAATATATTGTTCTAAATTCACTTGAACTTTTCTATAGTCATTTTTTATTATTCTAGATCAAATTTCTATAATTTCCCAATGAAATTAGTTATAAATTTTTAAATAAATTTCATAAAATGTATTACTTTATTACAAACATAATCTCATGAGTGATATTATTCGAAGGCCATGATATCACTTCCTTTTCAACAATCAGTTTATTTAGACAGATTGATCCTGCTAGGAGAAAAATAAGAAATATTGTTGTTTAGTACACAGAAACTCTTTTTTACTCTTTTATTCCCTAAATTAAATATTGTAGGTAAAACGGAGAAGTGTTTAAAGATCTACTGGTCACTGAAGTTCTCTACCTACTGATTAATACTAAGCAAAACAACTTGTAAATTCAGCAGTTGAGTCAGGCCTAGTTGACTCATGGCTGTGTTTATAGGAAGCAATAAAGTAGCATGCTAGTTTCTTGATCAGTAAAATTCCATGCTACTTACACAAACTATTTTTATATGCAATATCTTGCAATGTGGAAGACAACAAATCGGACAACAACATACATCTGATTAAATTCTTAAATTTTTTTATTCAGAAACCGAAGACCGTGACATGTTCAAGTATATAAAGCTTGCTTGCTCACCTGATGAGGATCAATGTAGGCCAAATCAAACAAGGCTACAAGGGAGCTCAAAACTACTTAAAGACTCATGGCCACATGAGAAGTCATGGCCATATGACCTTGGAAGCTCATGGCCTCAAGGAAAATCATGGCTATATGATGTTAAAAGCTCACGACCATATTAAGAGAGAGCAAGACACAATCCTAGATGAAGTTTATGACCTTATGAGATTAAGAGGTCACAGTTTAGGCCTCACGAATGATGAATGTCACGGCGAGGTCCATTCTAAAGGAGATCAATGCAGCTTGGACCATTCAAGTGAATATCAAGGCGGCATGGGCTGTCTAAGTGGAGATCAATGTGCTATATTCTATGATTTTGACTCAAACAAAGCCAAGTTTTTCCCAGCTAGGGAGAATTGATAGCCCATAAGCATAGTAGTAATTTACCATTAATGAATTATATTTTTTTTAAAAATAATACCATTAATGAATTATATTATTTAAGTTAGTTTTATGTTTTCCGATTCCTTTATAGGAGTATTATTTCTAATCCTATTAATATTAGTATTTTCTATCTTTATTGGAAATAGTATTTTGAATTTTATTAGTATTAATATTTCTTATCTTATTAGTTTTAGTATTTTTTAGTCTAATTCTACTCAAGAAAGACTTACTTGGCACTCTATAGATACCTTTTTAACCTCTTAGAAATTATCTTTTCAGTTAGTAAATAACTTACTTCAGAAATTTCTCAATATTTGATTGTATGATTCAGTTAAATCTTAAATGTGATACCTAATGAGAAAAACCCTATGTATGGTATTTAGGTTTTTATCCTTAAATCTCTAAGTAAGCAAATCAGTTCTAATTTTTCCTACGTTGTTAACTTAACATTAGTTAATGTGATCATGACATTGGTTCTCGCCAAAAGCGCCATTTTATGTTCTGTTGTATCATAACATTTTATTTCATTCTATATTCGTAATATGTTGGTTTACTTCAGTGTTATATTTTGTTCTATTTCTTGATGGACATGGTTCAGTTGCATTCTTCTTTATTTTAAATTCAATGCTGACCAAGTATAAAATTACATTTGGAATGAATTCAGAAATTTTTTAAAATTTATTTATAAATTCACGTTTAATTCAATTAGAAAAAAGATATATCTATTAGAATGAAAAACAAATTGTCTTATATAAAATTTTATATGGGATTGAGACGATTTCTTCCGAAATCCATCAATTTTATTAACATTTTAAATGAATTATTTTAGTTTTACATGAAACTTATATAAGATTATTTTTTATTATTTAAGGAGAATTTTCACCATCTTCTACATGAATTAAGTGTGAATTTACAAAAAAATTAATTAAAAATCTAAATTTATTCCAAGCCTAACCTATACAAGAAAAGCAGTTTCTTATCATTATGAGCATAAACACGCCAAAGCCTACTATTATGACTGCATACAACTGACAAGACAACAAGTCGACAAGAACCACAAATTGCATTAGACCAAAGTGCAGTATGATACAACACAATAACAGGCCAGCATGACATTTGTATGCTGAATGTAAGCATTGCACAATGCACCCGCTAGCATGGCATTTTACTCCTCTATTATCAGACCATCAGTAAATATGAACTAGATAATGCTTACTTGGGTTGCAGGAGTATTCATCCTTGCTGAACTTCCCAGCCCAAGTATATCCTGCATGGGTATGACTGTAGTTTGGGCCACTGAAGATAGCACAGCCCGGATGAGTTTCCACGAAATTTCGTCATCGTCAGAAATTGAAAAGTACTTCAGTACCTAAGGCAAAAATTGTACAATCTAAAAAATTAAACCTCAAACATAAGATTTCACTTCATCAATGTAAAGATCCATCTGATAATATGTACTCACATTGAACTTTTCTTCTTGGTCCATATTTTCCCACCACCCACAGATCTATTGTACAGACAAAAATAATCATTAATGGGGTATGTCACAGAATACGAGTGAGAATGTCTAATGCTAAACCAAGAAGAGTGAAAAACAGAGGAGAGTGATACAACAACTAAGCAGAATCTAGTGGATATTCTTCTGTAAGCCAAAAGAGGAGCTAGAAAAATATTTTAATTGGTTTCTTGATGCACGGACACTACAAATCAAACACCAATGTGATTCCATATCTTGACCTCTGTTTCCTTATCATTCACTCCATGACAAGGACATAAATCCAGCAACCTGAAACTAGTCAACAGAATAGGAGGCCATTACCGTGTCATTATCATGAGTTCCAGTATAGACAACTTGATTACGCTCATGATTATGAGGCAAATGAGGGTTATCAGCATCACTTCCAAAACCTAAAACAACGTATCATGGAACTTCAAGATTTTTGCTCGAAAGACAATCATCCGAAAGAACAGCATTAGATTTAAGTCGGCATGAAGTAATTACCAAACTGAAGCACAGCCATTCCAGGGGCCCCAATTGATTTCCTAAGTTGAACTACATCCTCAGTAATAACTCCCTGTAATGCAACAAAAAAACAAATGTTCAAAAATCAGTAGTATGAGTCACCAGATGTGTAAAGAGCCGTTTCCTGCAAAAAAACTACCACATATTGACAATAATTATATAGCAAATTTTGTAAGCTTAAAAACAGTGAAAGCAGTCATTCATGCATATTTTGCAGGGAAACAGAAATTTTAATTTTTTATAACAAATGTTAAATGTACCAAAAGAGTGAACTATAACTTCATGTCTCTAATTAATCACTGCTAATCATCAAGTTGTGTTTAACCATTTACATATTAATTGTTTCTAACTTATTTTTCTTTTTAATGCTATAATTGAAGCACTTAAAACTTTCACATATAATAATAGTAGTCAAACTTCCACCGGATGCTCAAAAAGTAATGAAAAATAACATTCAGGTGGCATGTTACTAACAGTAATTGAAGATCAGATCAACAAATGCAACATTGAAAGCAAGTGCTTCTGTTCTCTGTTCCCTGGGACATCAATTATTTAAACATTAACTTGAAGCAGGAACATTAAGCTGCACTTGTATAGCTTAATTCTAAATCAATATCATGTTTATATCTGGAATGGCCCAAAAAAATATAAAAAGAATTATGGCAGGTAAAAGTTATTTAAGGTTCTTTGCCTTTTTCCCTTCTACTTTTTTTTCTTTCTATTTTCCTTCCATTAGCCATTGTTCAGAGTAGAGTATGCACCCACCCAGGTGCAAAGTCTGTTGCAAGACTACGAAATTCATAGCAAATTTTGGTCAAGTTCACAAATCCATTTTCAAAAGAATTTTGGTTCACTAGGTGATCTGATCAAATAGTGTGACAAAGAAATGCTAATGAAGCACCAAGTTCTTATAATATTTCAGATTAACATACCAAATCTTCTGCTATTATCTTGATCTTGCCAACAGCTCTAGAAATGGCATCAAATAATGCTTTTCCAGGTCCTACCTACTGTCATCAAAATAATATCTGGAGTTAAACGCAGAACAGAACAAAAATTTTAACTTGAAGGGAATCAAGGAAATCAGACCTTCCATCTTCCAACCATGGCAACTTTTGCTTCTGCACATTAGCATGTAGTATTAGTTTTCTTTTTTTTTTTTTATTCTGGAAAAAGCATCAATAGATTCTGAAGATTGTCTCACCAGAAGGAACAGCCCAAAAGCCAGTAAACCCTCTGAAGTGGTCTATCCTAAACTCATCATATAGATCCTGTGCACGTTGTATGCGTCGAACCCACCATGAAAATCCATCTTTCTCCATGGCTTTCCAGTCATATAGAGGGCTTTTAAGTCCAACATTATGCTAAATCAGTTTAATACTGTCATATAAGGAACAAAAGCAAAACAATATGAAGAAGAACATAATGTCTGAAAATCATGTGATAATCATGGGAATCGCTAGAGTAGAATAACAGGAAATGACAGGCATCCAATGAGATGAGCACAGAGATGTCCAACAAACTAACATATACATAGGACATTGGCTTCGTAGTGAGCAACAAGAATCATGCACAAAGCATGTACCAAACAACCAATGAGCTCAGTCTGCACTAATTAATTAGAACAAACCTGCCCCAGAGTTGACCAGTTTTACTGAAAAGATCAGGGGGAACACCACTAACTAGAAGGGGAAAGCCTTTCTTGTTCTGCACAGAGAATTTATGGCACCAGGTATTAAATTTAAATGATCTGGAAGCACGACAAAATCATTACAATTGAACATAATGAGTTAAGGTCCGACACACCAGCAAAAACTGTTTTTTATTTGCCCAAACATCAGCACTATGATAATCAACATAAATGGGCATGTCTCCCATTATACTGACACCTTTCAAGTGTGCATATTTGCGAACTTTCTGCCATTGCCTTTGGAGTAGGAACTGTTTAGCAATGAATAGTTCTATCTGTACAAGAAAAAGCATATTCCTTAGTATGCCTTCTAAACAGAATAAGAGAAACAGTCTGCAAATTCAATTTAAGATCCAGATCTTACAAAATCCTTTTGACTATCATAAATGCCTTCCAAGGCTGCAAGATGGCGATTTTTCAGAGGCTCAGGCCAATGGTACCAACTAAATGTATTTAAACTATTGTTGATAGCAGCAAAATAAGCTGCATCTTCAAGCCAACCTAAGAAATTGAGAAAATAAAACATATTTATTATTCAAGATACAAATTCAGGGACCTATGATAGAATGACAATTAACTCAACGTATTATCTATCAGTGCTTTTCTTAACATATTTAACATCTGTCATCTGTCCCTAGGACATATAAAATTTGACAAACACAACAATCTCCAACTCTTATTTACAATAATCAAGAATAGAATGAATTTTTCCAATATTTTTGTTCATATTTTCTTAATGGATAATCCTGATAAACAAGTAAAAGCCCCAAGACCATCCTTAACATGAATAGGAAGTTGATTTGAAATTCTGACCAACTGAAGACAAGCAAACCTATAAGCAAATATAAGAAAGCAAAATTTTGGAAAAATATCAGAAAATTTTGGCAAACTAAACGTTAGCATTCTGATAATTATCTTGTGAAATGAATTCTAAGTGTGCAGTCCCAAATAGACAGGACTTCAGTTGATACTGATTGTTCTTAAATATATCCATAAATATATTTATCCAGGATTGAATGTCGAACAACTTGTGATATAGGATTTGTAATTTCACTTGTACTGGTAAGTGGTAATTAGACTCATTCTTGTACATACCATGTCTAATTGAGACATCATAGAATTCACACTATTTCATGAATCAATATCTTTAACAATAAAATTATGTGAGTATGAAAAGATATATCTATTACTTGCTTATTAGTGAATGATATCTGCTTTGCAGTTTGTTTGCCCTTAGTTCCTGAGATATATATATATACATATATATATCTGGCAAGCGAATGAGGTGACCCAGTTGCAACCAGAAGAAAATAAGCAGAGAAGCACAGGATCCGCAGGGGAGCAGGAGAAAAATGGGACCAGGCGCAGAGAATCAAAACCCGTAAGGGTTCACATACGTCGAGGCAGAGACACGAATCGACTTCTCACCCATGAGGAATGAGGGCTACATGGCAGGCATCCACGGATTCTTGTGGGACACGTGTTATGATCACTGGAGGGGTATGTAAACCTCTCAAAAAAAACCCCGATTTTCAGAACCTGACTCTTTTTCCACCTTAATTCCGTGAACCTAAGGTTTCTTGCATTCTATGGTGGACGATTGGTGATCTAGGGAGATTGTTCATGCATCATTTTATGTATTTAAACTTTCCATTGTAACTCGAATGTGGAAAGTAATCTATCAAGTATTTTTCACACAATCTTCAATCTCTCTTTCTTACTCTCTCTTAGAGTGTTCTCTCTTATCTCTCTCCACTCTCTCCCTCTCTCACTCTCTTTCTCTGTCTTTCTCATCAATCTGTTTCTTTTCTGTCTTACTCTTCATCTTTCTCTTTGATTTTCTGAGTTACTATGAGTACATGTCACGAGTTCCTAACAACTTGGTACCACAGCAGATTGATTTTGAGGAGACCCTTGCAAGTTTCACGGGCTACTAACAGTAAACAATTTGAATCTGCCTCGGCTATGTTAGTCTAGATTCATTGTTTTGGACTTCATATCGCTAATAGATTCACTCAGCTTCCACTCAATTTTTTATAAGTTATTCATTTCAGGTTTTCAGGAGGGTACAGGTCAATGTTGTCACTAGTAGACCCATTCAGGATCCTTGGCTTCTGTTCTCTTGATATTTTTTGTTTTATAATTTATTTTTTATTTATGTGATGCACTCTTATACTGTGTATTGGGAAGTGTTTTTAGCATATTGGAAGCAAATTTTTTTTTTCTTTGCATCAGGAAGGTTTGTTGAGTTTCTATATACCGTTTGAATATGAGATTAGCAGGTGACTTTTCTTTAATATAGAGAATGTATTATAAAAAAAAAAACACATAAGTGGATAGTAAGACATCCTCCTCAAAAAATATAAACGGAGTAAACAGTTGTAGAACGTAATTGAACAGAAAAGTATAGGAATGATTTTTGATGATTTTATTTCAATAAGTTTGAGATGTATATATATACAAAGGGATCTATGTAAGATAACTAACATAAATTACTGTATTAATTTGTTGTCTATGCTTACGTTAATACATATGAGAAGTCAACTACTCATAATTATGCTATTATAGAAGGAAAATATTCTATAATCTTGTAACACTCCCCCTCAAGGTGGAGCGTAAATATTAATCATACTCAGTTTGTTACGAAAATATTCAATTCGAATTCCATTTAAACCTTTTGAGAATATATGACTTATTTGTTCTCTTGAATCTTCTCATAAATAAAGTGACAATCAACCTCGTTATGTCTGTTTCTTTCACAGTATGCCGAATTTGAGGTAATATGAAAGACAGTCTGATTATCACACTAAAATTTTGCAGGTGATACAGGTTTCATGGGATTCAAACTCATTTCAGCTAAAAGGTGATGTATTCATAAGACTTCATATGTGGACTGAACCATAACTCTGTACTCGAACTCTGCACTGAAGCGAGATACAATAGTCTGCTTCTTACTTCTCTATGATATCAGGTTCCCACAAAAAAAATGAAATAGTCTGTAGCGGACCTTTTATCAATTTTAGAATCAACTGAATCAACATTTGCAAAACATTCAATGTTAGTGGATTCATGATTGCTAAACAATATGTCAAGTGTCGGAACTCCTTTTAGGTAACACAGAATCTCTTCCAGAGTCTCCCAATATTTAACTGTAAATGCATACATAAATTGACTTACAATATTGACAGCATATGCAATATGTGGACGAGTCACTATGAAATAATTCAATCTACCAACTAACTGTCTATACTTTTTCAGATCATCAAATGAATCGTCATCATTTTTTGTAAGATATACATTTGACACTATCAGTATGTTGCATGCTTGACTCCCAACTTTCTAGTTTCTGAAAATAGATCAAGTGTATACTTCTTATAAGACAAGAAAATCTCTTTCTTACTTCTTATTACTTCTACTCTCAATAAGTATTTTAACTTACCCAAGCTTTTGGTATGAAACTTAGTATGCAAGAATGACTTGAGAGAATATATTTTTGTACAATCATCTCCTATATTGATAATAGCATCAACATAAATAACAAAAAGTATAATACTACCTGCTGATTGTCTATAGAAGACCGAGTCGCCATGAAATAATGCATTCTTAATATCTAACTGGTGTAAAAGATAGTTTAGATGTCACAATAAAGATGAATAAAAGAACATATGTAAGTTTATTCACTTCTTCTAGGAGATCGTCATGAATGAATGAATAAATTTTTGATATCCAACTAGTGTAAAAGCCAATTTTAAGATGTTGCAATAGAGATAAATAAATTGAAAAATATAAGTTTGGCTACCGGAGAGAAGGTGTCAGAATAATCCACCCCGTAAGTCTGAAAATAGTCTTTTATTACAAGTCTGACTTTAAGTTTTGCTACAAAGTCATATGAATTCATTTTGACTGAAAATACTCATTTGCATCCCATAATCTTTTTACCTTTCGGTAAATCCAACAAATTCTAAGTATGATTTTCATCGAAAGTATTTATCTCATCAAGTATTGTATTATACCAAACAGAATGATTCAAAGTCTACTTAACTGTCTTGGGTATGAAAATTGAATCTATGAAAATAATCAAAGAGTTAGACGAAGGAGACAGGTGATTCTATGACATAAAATTAGCAACGGGATAAGTAGATTTAGGAAGGATGCACTGACATTTACCTTTGCGAAAACTAATGGAAATGTCAAGGCCATGTGATGCAGGATTAGATGATGAGAAAACTAATGCAGGATATGTATCATTGGTCTGTTGCTTTTTGAAATAAACACGAACAATTGACAGTTGTACTTGAGTTGGAGGCTCACCAACATCATCATCAGTTTGCTCAACTAGAGGTAGAGGCACATCATCAGAAGAAACACCATTATCTGATTGCTCAGTAGAGGTACTTAGTATGAAGGTATAGATGAGTCACTCATCGTCCTCTCCCTGACTTAGAGAATTGAACGATGAAAAGAATAACGGTGTATTCTCCAAAAAGACCACATCAATTGATACCAAATATTTATTGAGATTTAAAGATAATATTGATATTCTTTCTAAATGCGAGAAAATCCCAAAAAAACACACTTCAAGGTCTTTGGATCCAACTTAATAACATTAGACTGCACATCTCGCACATATCAGGTGCTACCAAATATCTTAGACTACACCATAAACAATGATTTGTTTGGAAAAAGAATGTTGTAAGAAATATCTTCATCAAGTACTGTAAATTGTAAGCAA